GTACTAACGTGACATCATTTGCAATAAAAATCCTACATTATTGTGAACTTACGAACCTATCTAAAACCAAATGTCCAAATCCTAGCATTACAAATGTTAATGGCAAAAGGTCTATTGAATTTAACAGCATCAAGGTTTGAATCAGTAGTTTTCTAGATCCAAAAATGCTAAATATAATATAAATTCTGAGACTTTGAGAGGACTCTAAATCCAACTTAAATATAGTAAAAGGAAAGCTTCAGTGACAAATTCAAATTAGTCTGTCTTAGAAAAACTAAACAGAAAGAAGGGAAGAGCATATCTTTGTCTTTTTTACATAATTAAAACCTATAAATTGAAAACTGAATTGAAAATGAGAGCAGAAAATAAAGGCAATGATTAAATATTCACTGCATGCCAAGAGCAGCCCCTTAAATAAAGCTTTCATAGAGCAGCTGAGCTGATATCCTCTACTAAATTATGTTGTTGTTATTCATAAGTGGTTCTGACAAGAGTCAAATAGATGCAATAAAATAAAGTAGCATCATCAAATTTAAAAATAATAAAAAAAAACTTGGTAATTAATATAGCTCCACAGAAACAAAAAACAAAAGTGGGGGAAAATCCTAGTATAGCTGTGAAGACATTTGAAATCATCATGTGCTGAACTTGCCACGCTGATACATAGCTCCACTACCCACACCCATGTACTGAGTTATGCTTAAATCAGGGCAGCTGCCACCAGCTCATAGCTGGGGCAAAGGAAGGTGAATGCAATGTGAGCAGGGAGAGTCCCAGTCTGAGCCTGGGGCAATGCAACTGCCCACAGAGAGCCCAATTACCTTATTGCCAATTATATATTCTATATATATATTCTACACCAAACTGCCTGTGAGCTGTGCCACTTGCACCAAAGACATGGGTTAACCTAAACTGAAAGATGAGCTACCTTTCCACCAGGGACCCCTCACACTACAATGAGGACATGGAAAAATTGCCTGCGTGCGGCAAGCAAAATGACAGATTTCCAGCTTCTTAGTCAGCCCTAAGCCCCATGAAGTATTCCCTTGAACTATCCCATTACTGAGTAGTAACTGATGTCCAGAAAATACATTAGATGCCTCTAATCTGCTGATACAATCATTATGTCTATTCTTCTAATGGTGCCTCAGATCAAACCCTCATAGCACCTCAAAAAGATAAGGAAAGAAAGGAAAGTTGCTGCCAGGGAACACAGGATTAATTCAGAGCAACTTGAACATACACAGCAGTATTGGCTGCCTATCACATAAGGAAAAAGAGGAGGCTCTACCTGGAAATATCCTTTGGAAGAAGAATCAGAAGAATTCCCCAGTAAATAAGATTTTAACATATAGAGGGGAAAATATTATTCACTTCCCCATAGTAATTACAGTAATATACGTATATCCCTAGCTAGTAGTCTATATAATTTTCTGAAAAAAATCACTTTCAAGAGTGAAATAAAAGTACTTCGAATCTTTTTGATAAAGAAATATAAAACCACTATATTTATAGAGAGAATTTACTGTATATTTATACTAATTTTTAATTTAATACTACTATTATATACAGAATCAAACAGAAAGATCTTTTCCAGTTAGCTACAGAAGCCACTTGAGTGGCTGTTATCAAGAGGATTGGTTTTTATTGTTCATTTCCAGGCAGTGAAATCTGTGTCTAATGTGGCTGCCCCACAACAGATGCTAATACTCTAGAGATGCTTTTTGATATTCTGGTTTCCAGCACTGCATTGCAATACTGAGGTAAAAGCAGGACACTGCCAGGCAAACACACTTAGCTGCACAGCCCCTATAAACTATCCAGTGCAGGCACACGTTAAGGACATTTACTTTTGAGGTTAATAAAACTTGTTTTATAGCATACCATAGTCAGTAAAGGAAATTACTGCCAATGACATTAGAGGTGGACTGACTTTTGCATTTAGTAATACTTTTTACAGTTTAAGTCATGACCTAAAGCCCTAAGATTTTAACAGACCATCAAGTGCCTTTTTAACAGTCTTTATAATCAGTCCTGTGGGAGCAAGACAGATGCAAGTTGTAAAGGGCACATAGAATTGGGCACATGAATTCACACATGTGTATTACCCAATTTTGCATCCTTCAGTTTCTCAAGATTGAAATAAACCAAGAGCTGGATTCAGAATCAAAACCAGTGTACCTGTATAATATTAGGAAGTCTAATATCTGCCCCTTAATATCCCTTTACCTAGTCAGAGCCAAAAGGAGGTTGGGAAGTATGAAGCACAGAGGTTGTGGAAATATTAAAAAGAAGCACAAAAGTGCTTCTGTAGTGCCACAGGTAAGCTAGGGCAAGCTTTGCATTGAAAAGTAGTATATACACATGAGGCAACAAAACAGCAGGGCAATTTTTTTCCATGTTTCCAATCCATTAGGCAGCTATCATGTCCCTTGGTAACAAGTTTTGAATCTCTAGGTCATTAAACCCTTTCTCACAGGTCAGACTCACAGTGCCCATGGAGGCAGAGCAGCCCCCACTCCTGGTTTCATCTCTCCTGCCAAAGGGGTTAATCTGGGTCTCAGTACCCAAAAACCAACACAGTGATGCAGCAGGTGGTGACTTTAGACCTCACACTACATCTGGGTTACCAGGGAGAAGCAGAGCTGGTGCTCCCTGTGCACATGCAGGCTTGGCCTTGATGGAGCTGGCTGATGCTGCAGCTGCCGCGATTATTTCACAGCACTGTGACAAAAAGCATTGGACATGACAAGGACCAGTATTGTGGCTGTGACAAGAATCCCTGCAGCTGTGACAAAGACCACCATGGTGTCCTGCTGCTGGGATGCTGGCGGAATCCACAGTGAAGCTCCATGACACTTGCTCTGTAATCCCTTTGACACATGATTTTTCCCAGGAGTTTTTCTAGCAAATATAGAGGGCTCAGAGGATCAGGGATTTCTCTTTGAGGTCCAGCTGCTAACACCTCTAAGCTGGGTTACAACCCCACCATGCTTAGATTGCCAAAGTAAAAATATTAATGAGGTCGAAGTTATTCTGGTGGAAGGACAGCAAGATTCATTTTTGATTTCTGGAGGACTTGTTTCCATGATGTCAAGATGGCTCTAGGGCAATCGCCATTGACCAAGTTCACCAGCAGATTTTCTGCTGCTCCACCTGGATCCCAACAAATCTATGCAGCCTGATGGGATTCATCCAAAAGATGGGATTTATCTCAAAGAGCTAGTTGATATCATCACAAAACCTCTTTTGATGATTTTTGAGTAGTCTTGGGAATCCAGAGAGGTCAGCTGACTAAAGCTGGCAAACATTGTCCTGACTGATCTCTGCTCTGTGGTGCCCAGTGACAGGACCTGAGAGAATGGCCTGAAGTTGTGTCAGGGAGGTTTAGGTTGGGTATCAGGAAAAGGTTCTTCACCCAGAGGTTGGGCATTGGAACAGCTCCCTAGGGAAGTGGTCATAGCACCAGCCTGACAGTGCTCAAGAAATGTTTGAACAATGCTCTGAGGCACATGGTGTGACTCATGGGGTGTCCTGCACAGAGCCAGGAATTGGACTTCTGTGATCTTTGTGGGCTCCTTACAACTTAGCACATTCTATGGTTCTGTGTGATTTATCAAAAATAAATGGTTCACTCTAAGGTTATCTCAGTATTTGTAATGAAGTATCAAGTTGGTCTCTTTTTAAGGCCAAGGTCTTGCCCCAACATAAAGCTAAACTAGTCCCTGATATTTTGTGGAGACTGTATAACAGAGATCACAGATCTGCTTTTTACTTAAAAAACATGACTTCCATTATATACATCTATTTTCAGAGGCTTACCACAAGTAGTTAGTGATTTCAAATACTACTATTTGGAACACAAGAGAGCAATACCCAAAAGAAGTTTGTTTGGTTTGCATTTTTTTTTGCTCCTAGGGAATCAACAAACTTTTAGCTGAATGCAGTGTTCCTGTGTTGAATTAGAAGTGTATAAAGCAAAACAGAAATTACCAAACCAAATATTAACATGACATAACTGTGTATGGTTTCAATTTTTGGATACCAATGTAACTAGCAAATCCACAAAGCAAGCCCTTTCAGCAGCCTAAAATAAGAAGAAACTGCTGTGACACTGCTGTGTCACAAAACTGTGAGTATGAAAGCAGCCCACCACAGCCTGCCAACAAGCAGCCTATGTGCTCTCTTCATGCTCAGGAATACCCTTTAGCCACCTGCACGTGCCAAGGGAAGGCACCTGTATTTTCACCCTGGCACTCAAGGCAGCAGCTGTGACCACAAACTTTCAGGTGAAGGAGGGCTGAGTTCTACCTCTTGCCCATGCCAAGGTTATCAGAGCAAATATCCTCCCAGTATTACCGCTCCTCCTGCTTGCTGCCCTTCTCTTCATTTGAAGTTTTGCTGTCAAGAACCTGTTATCATCAGAGCCCACTTCCCTCTTGTTATTGTTTTCCTCAATGGATTCATGCAACTCTAAGGAGCTGCAGGCAAAGGTATCACTGCAAGAAATAGTTTAAACTCAATGCTGCTTTCTTGAACAAATAATACTCCAGTCTATTTCCTTCTCAAAAGAAAGGTGGGAGGTTACACCTTCTGTTAAAAAAAAATCCACAACAATCTACAATCAAAACTAACACAGATCTGTTTTTGGGAGCCAGGCAAGGCAGAGTTCGCCCGTTGGGTTTCACAAGTTTGCCATGAGGAAAAAATCAGATTCTCTGAAGGATAATTTCTGCCATCTCATTCAATTTGTGGTTGTCCACCATAGTAAAATTGTCACTTTGGGTTTTTCTTTAAAAAAACACACCAATAAAATTAATAAAGTCCTGGATGGCAACCACACTGACTATACAAATTATGTAGGTAGAAATTATAATTCAATTTCTAACATGGTCCTGTAGGACTAGCCATGAATTTGCAATTTTGTGAGGGAACTTTTGTGAGGGAACCTGGATAGTCATCTTCTTCATGTTCTTTAACATTATTCTAGGGCTTTGTACATGGTCTCCATTATTGTGCCTTGATCTATTGGCAGCAAACAAGTTCTTACACAGTATACTGTATTTCTTGGAGTGTCTTTTAAAAATGCTTTCCTTGCTTAGTCTGCATTCATGTTAATTTGCATATTGAACACATGAAGTAATCTAGAGAAATTTAAGGGGGAAGTCAACCAGATTTGTTCATTCTTCTGTTGAGGTTAAAGGAAGACCATGATCTTTAAATTAAATAGAAGTAGACTCATACCACAAAATCCCCCCCTGCATAGAAGCTTTTCTTCAGCTAAGAAGAAAACTGGACTGAGACAATAACCTGAGTCAAATCATGTCTTTCCCACAAGACTAAAAGCTGCCTTAAATGTTCAGGTGGATCCAGTGATCAGCAGAGAGAGTGAACACAGGACTGCCAATGGGCTCCATTCCATAAGACCTTTCAGAAAGCCTCAGAAGTCTTCCTCTGAATTTCTGCAGATCTTCCTTCTGGTTCCATTTACATGCTCCTAATGTTCAGCAACCATTTTTTCACTTACAAAGCACCAGTTCTTAACTTATAAAAAATAACACTTTATTTCAAAATAATTGCAGCATCCATCATCTAGCTCATAAACTGAGAGCTGGAGCCACTTGGTCATTTAGTTAATGGGTTCAAATAATGAGAGTTAAACAACAAAAAAACACACCACAAAAAAACCCCTCAAAAATACATTAGATTAAAGTAACTTTTCATGTTTTGCTAGAGTTCTCTTCTTTGAATTAAATTAAAATTTGCAACTATAGAGAGTCTGGCTTGGGGCTAGCATTCAAGATATACAGTATCTAAAAAAAAAATAAAAAATAAGTTGTGTTCCTTTTTCCCAATACTAAAATCCTACTAGACCACATTTTTATAATAGTTCAGAAATTCAGCCAGTGTCCTCTATTTGCACTACAGCTGTCAAATAGGAGCTGGAGTTATAGAAACTTTCACAAATATGTGAAACTATTTAAGGTGTCTAATAAAGATTTTGGAAGATCAGCTATGATGATTTCTCCACACAGACTCAGAGTCTAACCTGAAAATATCTTCTTAAGACTGCTTTGTCACAAATGAAACACTTCTTGTTCAAAAGCACAGTAAATTGTATCTAAAACTATAAATGGAGTGGTAAAGTGTTCATGTCAGTCAGTGAGATAGAGAGAACAGAAAACAGTGTACTCAGAAGAAAAAAAAAGGTATTACAAAATTTCATACATCAACCTAAATATATTTACATCATCTCTGCATAGGGATAAAATACCAACTTCAGCTTCACTACTGAGTCTTTCCTTCTTTTTAGAAGAGTAGGAAAATAATGTGACATATCATGGAGGGTTTTTTCTTAAAAGCATTGCTAAGTATCTTAGGAAGCTATAAAAATAAAAATAACAGGATGGACTTTATCAGTAGGCTTTGGTAGACTGACCTCCACTCAGACAGGAAGTCAACAGACTCAGCAAACTTTCAGGCAGCTCTGAGCTAGGCAGAGTGGCTGACAGGATAAGTGCCAGAGCCTCAGCCCAGGAGACTTCAATAAATTTGGGGGTTAACCAACAGAAATGTCATGACCTTCAATAGCAAAAACCACAGGGTTTGCAACCAGAGTGGAACAACCCCACGCACTGACTGAAACTGCACCAAGCAGCAGCCCTTGGGAACATGGCTGTGGTGTTACAGTGGGCAGCCCACTGCAGAAGTGAGCCCTCACTGTGCACAGAACAAATTGCATGCTGAACTGCATCCAGAGGAGCATGCCAGCACTAAGGGAAGCTCCAGCTGAGTCAGCCTGGGGAGACCCTCAGTTCAAGAGGGATGCAGAGAAAATTGGAAAGGCCTAACACACATACTCTATGTAGAGAGGCTGAAAGAGCTGGGCCTGATATTTTTGGTGAAGGAGAAACCACAGAGGAATTTAATATCTGCTTACAATTATTCGAAGGCCAGTTCTTTGGACACCACCACCAAACACCTCTTGATAGTGTCAGACAGCATAACAAGGAAAACAACTACAAAAAGAAATTTCAGAGGTTAAAGTTGGACAGCTGGAAAAATATTTTCACTAGCAGCACTGGAATATCTTGTCAAACAGGTTGAGAGATTCTGTCCTTGGAAAGGTTAATCCAGACAAAGCAATGGCTGATCTGGTTCTTTGTTACAACAGCCCTCTTCCAAGTAGTAGAACCTTGGATTATTGGAGGACTAGAACTAATTATCCCTTGAAGGGCCTTGAAGATGGCATTTTTATCATTGCCCAAAATAACAGAGTGAAAAGCTATCCCTCCATTAATTCTCAATCTACTATTTTACTGATCATGTATTTTAAATGTTGATTTTTTTTCCTTTATTTCCGCTAGATATTTCAACATGATATATCTATTCATACAACATCTAAGTGCTTCTTTACACTATTACAAAAAGCTGTTTTTAAACATGACCACATGTGCATCTGCCTAATCTGGAGATAATTTACAAGACCTATGTCACAATGTTAATTCTTTTATTTACTGTTTAATTAAGTAGTGTTTCTATCACTGCACACAGATTTTGATTTTATAAAAGAGCTGTTGTTCATTGGCATCACAAACTGGACTTTAAGCACAACTGAGGGAGATTTGAAAGAGTGCTTAAAATGCATCAGCCAGACAGCATCACCTCCTAAAATAATGTCACAATCCCCATCGTAATCTCTGTGCTTGCTTAGAATGTACTGATGAATTTGCACCAACGTGTTGTATACAAAAGGAGCATATCATCTGGGAAACAGAGGTCACAAAAAACCACTTTGTTCAATTAAATTCAAATGTTTTAATTAATGTCAAAGTTTCTTTCTTAGAAAGTAGCTTCTTCTTTAAATTTCCAACTAGGTAATGGTGTGTCAGTATTCAAACTAGACACAAATGGCATTCTTCATCTCTGAAAGAGAGCACATGTGCCAGTTACAGGCAATTTTTGAATGGCTTTGTAAAGATGAAAGGGAGAAGCCTGGGGAAAAGCAGCAGAAAGCCCATCACTGAGTAACCTTAATGACTTCCTGAAATCCTCATGGACTCGGGACTGGGAGGAGGCTGGGGAATGAATCCTCACCCCACACTGCTGAGTCAATGACCATCAGCTCTCCTCTGCTGGTGCCCACTCCCCAGCCCTGATGGGCCCCAGCCTTGCCCTTTCCTTGCCACAAAACTCCTCATGCATTCCTCTGGAGGCAGGAATCACTGCTGCCTTGTCAGCCCATTTCTGATTAACAACCTGGCTTCGTTTGCAAATTAGTGCAAGGTATTGTTTAAAGAGGCAGCCTTTGGTACCCTGGTCATCACAAATCATGTGGGCTAGCAGGGTTCCTCCACAGGGCCAAGCCTGCTGGCAGCTACTACCACCAGGAAAAGGGAAGAGATCCTACTTTAAGTTGGCCAGGAAAGAAAGTCTGTATCTGTTCAGTGGCTCAATAAGCATCCTAACTTTGAAGACAAAAATAACAAATGGAGAAATCAACCAGCACTTATTTAGAAATCGCTGCAGTACAAGAAATGAAGAAAAGCAGCAACAGCTACAAAAACCCCACCCCACAGAGGAAAGCTGAGAGGCTGAGGATGTCCTTGGATGCTTTCCAATAACAGGCAGGCACACTTCATGCTGCTATAGCTACATAAAGGTGCTTGCTTGCAAATTCAGCAAGTGTGTTGCCATCAATAAACTGTTTTAAATAAGAAGCTTTGATTCAAATAGTTTGCTCTGATCTTTAGTTAGTGAAAGTAAAAAGTGTTTTACAGCAGCAAAGAGAATGCCTCTTCAGCAGATCATGAGTATGTGTTACACAAATACATATCCTTAAAACACTTTCGATACTTCTTTTCCATTTTGAACTCTTAGCATGATGCAGCCCAAATAATTTGAGATCAGAATAAACATCTGATTTCACATGCAACACGGGCTATTATTAGTATTTTTTATATATTATAATCATAACAGTTAATTTAAATTAATTTATTAAATTAAATTGACTACCTAAAATTATTAATGGAAACTACTCAAAAATCATTTAATATTTGTCTGTTTAAATAGTTGAAATATTGCTCAGGGTTAGCATGATTCACAGCACTTTAAATGCCCAGAACAGCTCTCACTAATTTCTAGGCCCCCAACACTTGTGCTCAGATGCATCGCAGAGCATGTGCTGGCTCCTTGGTGCTTGTGCCAATGGAGGCCCTTCAGTAAGAGAAACTTGATTCTGGGGCAAAATGCTGTCAGCACCCCAGACAGCCCCTATGGCTTGGGCATATTAAGGGATTCGTTTTCCAAAATGTACATATTTTTGTTCATCAAAGTAGAAGTGGAAGATTTGTTAGGAGCACAGAGGGATCAAGTTAGACCAAAGCTGGATTCATTTCCTAGGTATAACTCATCCTGCAAGTGTGGAACCACTTCTAGCAAACAGGTAGAGAGGTGAGACAGGAATCCTATAAATGTCACCCCAAGCTGTCAGCTCAGAAATCGAGAGTGAAAACATGTACATGAACAAGTCTGTTCAGCAGATCCAGTCCCCAGCAGCAGCAGCCTGCTCCATGATATATTTTGTTCTCATGTACAGTATTATAAAACTGCTGTTCACATTACTGCAGCAGTTTCTGCCACTCTTATTACCACCACAGGAATCAAAATCCATTTGGAGGCTTATGGGGAAATGCTGAGGCTCATGCAAAGAAGCAAGACCAAGAATTACTATAAGTGCCAACAATATACAAACACAATTATAGTTTGGAAGTGAAATAACTGAATTAAGAGTGCTATCTGGCCAAAGAAAGCTGATTAAATGCAATGGAGATAGATAAAGTGAGATTACATCTAATTAGCTCACAAAAAAAAAAAAAAAGCAACTCCTCTAATTCTAAGGCTGATTAATTAATTAAAATTAGAAAAATATTTGCTATGTAAATGTAAACCACTATATTTAAATTAAGAGTAGCTCATCTTTAGAATTAATTTTAAAATTAGAATTAGATTAAATTTAG